ACGCTACACACCCTCTCCACGACCTGTTTTCCTCGTTACCTTCTGGGAGGAGGGCGGTTCCGTGGTACCCAAAGCAGAACATCCAGATTCAGTCACGGTTTCGGTCCATACAGTATTAACCTTGTGAACTCTCAGGCTTCCTCTTTCCGCTATGTATTCAAGATGGACAGTGATTAATGTTTTTATGTTATTTAGATATAAGGGTGTAGGTTATTTAGATACATTTAAACATGTATATGTCATGTTTAAATGTGTGTTATGTATGTGTGTACACTTCTGAGAGCAAGCAACAAAATTTCATTTTCAATGTGTCCGCAGTAAAAAATGACAATAAAGGTTCTCTCTCTCTCTCTCTCTCTCTCTCTCTCTCCCTCTCTCTCTCTCTCTCTCTCGTACCAGGTGGTACGGGTACCACCTGGTACGCGACCATCCTAGAAAAGTGGTAGCGGGGGAGGGGAATGAGCTGAACCGGTGGCAGCACCGCACAAGCCTGAGCGAGAGATGGCTGGAGCTGCAGGGCTGTCAGGGCTCAGCGGAAGCCCCAGGATCAGTGCCGCTTTCCAGCTGATCGGCGCTTCTTCGGGGCTGTTAGGGCTCAACGGAAGCACCAGGATCACCGCCAGACTCCAGCTGGAGCTCGGCACTGATCCTGGTGCTTCTGCTGAGCCCAGAAGAAGCGCCGATCAGCTGGAATGTTGCAGCCTCTCCAGGGTCTTGTGATTTACATTCAGATGCTTGGCAACTGGTTCATATTTATGACGGTCACAGTGTCCCAGGGTCATGTGAAGTGACCAAAACCCGATGCAAACCACCCAGCAGACGGGGGAGGGGGAATAAAAACCAAACACCCTCCCACCCCACCCCCGCTGCTAATCCTCAACAGAAACGCTCACAACAATGAAAACCTCGGACAGGAGGAAGAGCGCCACCGGGCGGGCAGGCAGGTGTCTTGCTCGGCTGTGGCTTGGGGGGCACTTTTTTCAGTGCCATTGTAACTTAGAACAATCACTAAGCGAACTGTTGTAAGTCGAGAACTACCTGTACTTCATCACTTTTTTCCTTTTTGGGGGGGGGGGTCATCAAGTTTTTGACCCCTTGCTAGGCGACTGGTGGTACTCGGATACTGCCATATCCTAAAAGTGGTACAATGGATGAAAAAGTTGAAAAGCCCTGCCTCCTTGGTTAGCCCTCAGTGTAGGATTTGGTAACCTTGTCAAGGTCAGTCCCATATATGGAAGCCATGGCTGATTGAAGATTGAATGTATTAACACAACACGTGTTATTTTGCTCTTTTGAAAGGAACTCATCGTGGTTGGGCTGCTGTGCAGATGCGTTTACTTCATGAGTTAGTGTACGCCTCCAGGAGAATGGGAAACCCAGCACTTTCCGTCCGACACTTATCTTTCCTTTTACAAACCATGCTGGATTTTCTTTCGGACCAAGGTATTCATTTTGTTAAAAAAATACAATTTTTTTTAATGTATGTTATAAATGATAATGGCCAATCAGCCAATATTATAAATATATTGTATATTATATTATAAATATAATGTATATTATAAATGATAATGGCCAATCAGTCTGTTCGAAAGCTGCAGAATGTTTAGTATGATTCTGGTTTTCTGTTGCTGGGTGGAAGCCAAGTTCTGCTCTTAGCTTTCCTGACCAAATTGCAAGCCTCCTTTGGCTATTTCTTATTTTCAAAATGGAACATACCTGCCCCCTTTTTTTAATTGCCACTCTGTCCTGTCTCGAAGATACAACGCAGGGGCATTGCATTGTCAGTATTGCACACAAGTTTAACCATTAATTATGCATTTTTCATTTTACCACACTTGATTTTAAGAGCAGAGTTGATGACAGTATGGTTTGGAACCTTGAATCTAGCAATCAAGCAACTGCTTGAAGTTTTCATTAATGAGATCCTAAATTCAGACTTGGACAGTCAGATTAAGTTGCTGCAACTTTTATGCTCTGCCTATATCTGAAAGAGTTTCAAGAAAGC